TTGTTGGGGGCAATATGCTGACTCTGTAAACCGCTTAGAGAGGGCTGAAAGCCCTATGAAGCGGTATATAAGTCTAACTGCTATTGCTATTGCTATTACTCTGAAGTCTGTCCATCTTCTCCATTGATTTGCATTAGGGTTGGATACAGATATAATGCATTAATATGCAACTGATGATGCAGTTTCATGTGGAATCTATTGAACAAAGGTATTCAAAAGGTTCCAAGTATGAAATAGCCCATCGGATTCGTTGCAGCTTTATCTGAAACTCGTAATATCATGGGAATTCAATTTCATGTTGTTTTGAATGTTTCATGATTGTCTTGTTATTTTTTTAAAACACCACCACAACCCAGCTATAAAAAGCTTAAAAAAGCACATTAGTCAATAAAACACCAATCAAAGGGTTTATTTCTACTTCCATTAGCTGGAACTAGTTAAGGCAGAAGATGGGTGAGAAAGAATAAAAGCACACATTCTAAGACGATGTAATCTAAAATCAAGACTGTTTCCTGTTAGAGTATGAGTTTATTTCTGCATTAAAGGTCTATTATGAAGAACTCATTGATTATAATTTAATATATTTATCCATTGTTTTGTGTGCATTTTACTTTCTGTCTGAATTACCTTTTGTGGTTCTACTTAATTAATTTGTAAGGCACATAACTGTTCATAAACTTCTCTCTTAAAACCTACTGTGTTTCCCCCAAAATAAGACAGGATCTTATTTTCTTTTGACCCCTGAAATAAGCGCTTGGCTTTATTTTCGGGGAGGCCTTATTATTTTTGAGGTGCCGGAGGCAGCAAGTGTGGTTACCTCATGGCTGCTGCTATGTTGCAATATTTTTAGGGAGGGCTTATGTTCGGGGGAGGACCTGTTTTAGTGCATGCATTCAAAAGCCCGATTGGGCTTATTATCTAGGGAGGTCTTATTTTCAGGGAAACAGGGTACATCAATATAGATTAGGGCTGCTGTTCCAAGTCACATCCTGGAAACAAAGAGTATTAATCTATTTTTCATGTGGTTTGAATGATACTTTTGTTTCCTGCTTCCTCCCTCCCCCCAAATATATAAACCTTTCTCTCTCCTGATATCTAGATTCATGCTCTTAGTCCTTAACAAATACAATCTACATTTATTACACAATTGTGCTTATACAGTTGTGCATGTGATTTATTTATTTAATTAAATTGTAAAAAGTGCGTGTAGAGAAGATTTTCACCAGTTTGTAACCTTCACCCACAGAGTAGGTCAAAATGCATATTTCTGTAGAATATCTGTAAATCCAAGCCCATACGTTGTAATTCTTTATAATGAAGGTTATTTCATTTTTCAAGGTTTTTGTATCCCTTATGGCTAGATGGAAGGGACCTTAAAAACAGTACTGTAGTCCTTGATTTATGACCACAATTTGGACCAGAATTTATGTTGCTAAGCAAGGTGTTAAGTGAGTTGGCCTGATTTTTACCATCCTTTTTGCTAAGGTTCTATGCGAACCACTGCAGTTGCTAAGTGAATCATGCGGTTCTTAAGTGAATCTTGCTTCCCTCATTGACTTTCCTTATTGGCTAGGGTTAGGGTTAGGGAAGTCAGATTCACTTAACAATCACATGATTCACTTATTGGCTAGTAAAGTTGCAAAAGGCAACCGCAGGACACTGCAGTACATGCTGGTGGCCAAGCATCTGAATTATTTTTATTCTATTTTATTAGTTTTATTACAAAAAAAAAACACAAAAAGAAAAGCATCATCTTTCATGATGATGAGACTTTCAAGCGTCTGAATTCTGATCAAGAGATAGCGGGAACACTGCAACTGTCATAACTTACTTTTTTACTTTCAAACAGAACTTTTTTATTTTTCTTTAAAAAAAACACAAATATGTCATCATTTGTCAATCATTAAGACATTGAAGTACAATTTTTTTGTTGTGTGTACCCCTCCCTCCCTCCACCCCCCCCCCCCCCTCCTCCTTCCCCCCCCGACTTCCCAGAACCCGTACACGGTATGGATTTTTAACTAAC